ATCAAGTTGCCGTACATGAGAAAGACCACCACAAAACCGCATTTGTATCTCCATTTGGGTTATATGAGTATTGCCGTATGCCTTTCGGGCTTTGCAATGCACCTGCAACTCCAGCGCCTCATTTATGGTGGGAAGTTCGGATCATTTTAATGACTCGGATCTTTGAGTCTCGTTTAGTATAATGAACGTATCTTTTATCGAGTCATATCGTTAATTTCGGTCATTATATAATTAAAATGTCATGTTAAATATCCCAAAACATCTAGTACTTACGAAAATCTTGATTACATTTGTAAAAATAACATAAATAACTATAGGGTAATACAGCCAATGCCAAATTATAAGCAACTGAAATAACTGTATTAATTAGTTGCTGGGTCTCAAGTTCAGGCTATTGCAGTCTGACCCTGTTATAGTTCACCTCACCTCCTGATCCGAGACGTTCTTTCCTTTGCAACTTCATATTTATCAGGTTTCTTCTCCTCTCATGTCTCGAGACGTTAGCTGTTGACTCGTCAATGTCTGACTCTGATCTGTGCTGTCTGCTGGGCCGTGCCGTGCGATATAGCAGGACCGGAAAGAGTAAAGATTAGTTCATCTCTCGAGTTCGGGTTCTGCCGGGTCCGAGTATTTCGTTCTTCCCGTCAGTCCCATAGAGTCTATGCTGTCAGCACCGGAAAGAGAAATGATTAGTTCATCTCTCGAGTTCGGGTTCGGCCGGGTCCGAATCTTTCGTTCTTCCTGTCAGTCCCTTTAAGTCTATGCTGTCAGTACCGGAAAGGGGAATGATTAGTTCATTTGAGTCTTCGGGTTTGAGGCCCCGTCCACACTACTGCGTTTTCGTTTAAAAACGGAGACCTTTTGCTACGTTTGCACCTCCCGTCCACACTAAAACGGGAAAAACAAAGACCTAAAACGGAGAAGTTTAGAAACGCTGCAGCTGCGGTTTGCGTTTTGAATCTCCGGAGGGCATTTTAGTGTGGACGAGACAAAACCATACAAAACGGAGAACTTCAGAAACGCTGACGCAGAGGCTGACGCTTGGCTCTATGATTGGGTGTTATCAGTCATGACGTATCCTTCCCTGATTCGTCATTCACTGTTTACACCGGCACGCGCATGCCCAGTGTTGGTGAATGGTCACGTGATCCGAGTTTTCAGTCGTTTTAATGTGGACGGAGATCATTTCTAATACGCAGATAAAACGCTGGTGTGGACGGAATTATTCATTTTAATTCTCAGTTTTTAAACGAAAACGCAGTAGTGTGGACGGGGCCTGAGTCCTTCGTTGTTTTCTCACGTGGCCACTGGTCTCTCGCATCAAATACAACATTAGATTCGTATTATTGACTGCGTCTGAATGTATATTGTGTTATATAGGCATTAAAATACAAAATATGTTCAATAAACATTATAAACAAAAGTTCCATTATTCCTTATTCATTTTTATTGTCCCTGTCCGTCTCTTTAACTACTATTATATTATACATCATCTGTTTGTAAAAAGTTTGTGAATTAGTTTGTAAAAAGTTTGTGAATTAGGCTATTCAATTCAAAGACAATTCACATGACTAAAGAACGAAGGACTCAAACCCGAAGACTCAAATGAACTAATCATTCCTCTTTCCGGTGGTCTGACAGCATAGGCTCAATGGGACTGACAGGAAGAACGAAAGACTTGGACCCGCCGAACCCGAACTCGAGAGATGAACTAATCATATCTCTTTCCGGTCCTGAAAGAATAGGCTCTATGGGACTGACAGGAAGAACGAAAGACTCGGACTCGCCCCGAACCCAAACTCAAGACTCGAGAGATGATCTAATCATTTCTGCTTCCAGTACAGATTCATAATCCATATGTTGCCCAATGCGCATGGGCGGGTAACACAAAATTAACGAATCACTCCCTGAGACAACTCGGTAGTCCCAAGTCATATTAAAGATTCGTTCAAAATGAACAAATCGTTTATGAACGACACATCACTACGCCTCATGCAGTCTATCATGAGTGACCTGTTGTTTCACATCGCCCTTGTCTATCTAGACGATTTGCTAGTGTACTCGTCTACCTTCATGGATCATCTGGTGAGACTGGAAACAGTGTTCAAAAGGCTGAGAGATACTGGGATAAAAGTCAAGGTGGAGAAATGTCACTTCCTGAAGCCGGAGGTCAGGTTTCTCGGACATCAAGTCTCAGCACAGGGAGTGAGCGCAGACCCGGACAAAGTAAGTGTGGTAAAACAGTGGCCAACACCTAGCACACTTAAAGATCTCAAATCATTCCTGGGATTCTGCAGTTATTATCGAAGATTTATAGAGGGGTTTTCCCAGGTTGCTGGTCCGCTTCATGACGTAGTCAATGCTTGCCTTCGAGGGAATAGTCCTAGCAGGACAGATCAGCTGTTTAAGGATTCTTGGTCTCCCCGTTGTCAGGCTGCCTTTGTGCAGCTCAAAGAAAAGCTGACTACTGCACCGACGTTGGGATATGCTGATTTTACTCTCCCTTTTGTTTTGGAGACAGACGCTAGCAAGCTTGGGTTGGGTGCTGTCTTATACCAGCATCAGAAAGGGAAGAAGAGTGTGATCGCATATTTTACTTTAATTTAATGTTTTTTGTTTGGCAGCCATAGTTGCCAGTCATTTGATCCTTTTTTTACGATTTTTTTTACAATGAAGGTATTTGATCATAATAATGCAGAAAATACCTGTGAAATAACAGGGTTTTTTTGGTTTGTTTGTTTAAAATAGAATATTTTACTTTAATTTTATGTTTTTTGTTTGGCAGCCTTTGCTGCCAGTCATTTTATGATTTTTTTTACAATGAAGGTATTTGATAATGCAGGAAATACCTGTGAAATAAAAGTTTGTTTTTTTGTTGGTTTGTTTAAAATATAATATTTTACTTTAATTTTATGGTATTTTTTTGGAAGCGTTGGCTGCCAGCCATTTTACGATTTTTTTTACAATGGCGGTATTTGATCATAATAATGCAGGAAATACCTGTGAAATAACAGTGTTTTATCAGTTTATTTAAATTTGAATATTTGACTTTAATTTTATGGTTTTTGTTTTGCAGCCTTTGCTGCCAGTCAATTTTTTTACATTGAAGGTATTTTATCATAATAATGCAGAAATAAATGGAGGTTGGAGCAGGCTTCACTCAAAGTTTATATCTCAAATTGTTTTAAGAGTGCTGGCCTAATAATGACAATGCATGTATGGAAGAGAGAGGCCGCACTTTGCATATACAGTTTTATTATACACAAACGCGTTTCGGCGCGTGCCAATTGGTAACACGTGCATCATTCTAAATCATTGGTTGATGTGATTATGGGTGTGTTAACTGGTGTGGGCATTTAAGACTGGATAAGGTATTGTTCTTTTGCACACTGAAGAAGGCACGCGCCGAAACGCGTTTGTGTATAATAAAACTGTATATGCAAAGTGCGGCCTCTCTCTTCCATACATGCATCATAATAATGCAGGAAATACCTGTAAATTATTTAATTGATGATGTTTTACTTTAATGTTACAGTTTTTTGGGGGCTGCCAGTAATGTAATCCATTTAACTGTTTTGTTACGATTTATTTACAGATTATATTTGTAATTTTACATACATTTTTATGTAATTTAAGAAAACAGAAAAAATACTGTATAAAAAATGTGAATGACTGGAATTTGTCATTAATGTCACACAATACCTACAATATCAGCTGCATTTTTATTTTACAGATAATATTTGTAATTTTACAGTGTTTTGAGTACAATTTAAAATGAAAGAAAATGATTGTCAAAAAATCACAGTACTTTTCTGTGAAATTAGGATTTTTTTTACAGTTCCAATGGAGGAACAGAAAGTTCTTGGACTAAATCTAAAATATCTTAAACTGTGTTCTGAAGATGAACGGAGGTCTTGCGGGCTTGGAACAACATGAGGGAGAGTCATTAATGACATAACTTTCATTTTTGGGTGAACTAACCCTTTAAAGCAATTGATATACAAGATACATTCTCTTTCACAATGCATAAACAAAAGCAATGTGCAAAAAATTCATGTTGACTTAAAATTTTGACTTGTTACTCACCCCTTTTCTATTGAGAACACAATTTTAATCTATAACAACAATAAACAGCATCAGGTATAACTTGTTTGGCATTGATTCAGAACAGTTAAAGAGCAATATGCAGGTTGAATTTATTTCTGAATGAATACTTTAAATTGTCCGCAGAGGTCTTTTAAAAACACATATGTAGAAATTACTTATGAAATCTCATTTGACGTAGAGATTTTGATGAAAATGTGCTCGGCTCTGTAATACGCCTTTCCCGCTAGCAACGCCATGACGTAGGCCGAGGCAAATACAAGAGCTAGCGGTCCGCTTTCTCATTGTTGAGTGTTGATGTAGTGAGAGACAGAAAGTTTTAGATCAAGTTTTAGAGAAGCCATAATGGTAAATTGTTGTGTTTGCGCTGGTTCCACGAATTCCGCCTGTCAGGACATTGTCTTAATTTTCCTTCAAGGAAAAACAAGGCGTGTGTTTGGTTTAGTTGGGCCAAAAGGTCTTGGGTGCGTTTTGTGCAGGTGAAGAGAGCAGACTTCACTGCCGCGTCTGTTACCACACACACTCGGTCATTTGTGGGGCACATTTCACTCGCTATCACTAACTGCAGTTGAAAAGCATTTATTTTTTGTTATGGCATGGTCATTAGTCAATGTAGATAGTGCTGACCAGCTTGGATGGACTGTATAATCACTGTCAGTGTAGAATATGAGAAGATAAAATGTTGCTGGCTTAAATTAAGACAATCTAAATGTATGTTTAATTAAGAACAAAGTCGAACATATGTTTGCTAAAGCAGATTTATTGCAAAACACTAAGGTAACAGTTACTAGCTATACAGTAGGTGAACCAGCATTAGCCACGGTGCTAACTTACATTAACTCACCAAGTCACTTGCCCTATTCGTCACTGGTTTTCTTGACACCACATCTCTAACGTTACTTCTCTCCTCTGCACATTGTTCGTCCCCCGATCTCCCCCTGACTTCTATCTCGCCTCGAAGGCTCATAATTATAGGCCTGTGGGCCATCATAGGCATATTCGTCAACATCGGAGTACGCGGTTTCTTCATTCGCATCCATTGTAACCTGATCTTGAACTTGAACAGACTCCCTCGCCAATCGTCACTTCCGGTTAGTGCTTAATAGACGCGGAAGATATTTTATCACAATTTTTCTCAAAATATTGTTAATGGCTAAATATATATTACTCCAGTTCAGAAATTCTAGTTGTTTTATTGTCAACATATGCAACTATGCTATGTTAGGTTGGGTGTCCAACCTGCTTTTGCTCTTTAAAGACTCTTCCAAATCCAACCATTTAGCATTTAAATGTATTAAATAATGACACAGTTCTTTATTTTCTTTTTCTTCCCCTCTTTCAGATTTTCCTCTGGCAGGTCTTCATATATAGATTCTTGCTCCACCAGCTTTTCCTTTAAATTCCTCAGATTTGTTTTGTCTCTGAAATCATTCTTTTCTTCTGCATGTTTTCTGGCTTCATCTTCAAATTGAATCTGAATCATTCTCATTTCATCTTTATGGTTCAAATCAATTTGACTTTTCTCTCTTTGAAGCTCTTCTATCTCTCTTCTCTGACGATCTCTTTCTTTTCTGTCTTGTTCTATTTGATTCTTCATTTCCATTCTTTCCTTATCTGCCCTTTGTTTGTCTTCCTCATGTCTCTTCTTTATTCTCTGCATTTCCATCTCATATCTGGCTTTTATTGCTTCATGCTGAGCCTGAATTTCTCTCTCTTTCTCTTTCATTATTTCCTTGAATCTCTTTTTAATGGACATCTCTGCCTCCTCAAACATGCTGTTAGTGAAGCATTGACCCTGATTGGTGTTTTTCACTTCTTCTATCATGTTCAGCAGTTCAACCACTTGAGTTTTGTCTTGTTTTTCTCTGTTATTGAACATCAGGAATCTGTCGCCACAATCTCTGATCAGCTTTGTTAGTTCTGCATTTTTACTTTCACTGACATATTGTTTTATGGATTTGTTCTTCAGATCGTCTCCTCTAGTGAACAGGACGATGCTGAACTGAGCAGATTTATGACCAAAGATCTTCTTTATCAGATCTACAGTGTCTGCTTCTTCTTTGCTGAATCTTCCCAGACTCACCACAATGATGAACACATGAGGTCCAGGTGACGACAAAGAAACACATTTCATTATTTCTTCCACCACTTGATCATTTGTCAGTGTTGTGTCAAAGAGTCCGGGTGTATCAACAACAGCTATTGATCGACCAAGAACTTCACCAACTCCTTTCTTACACACAGTCGTCACTGAATCTAAGCTTGATTCACTCACAAACGCATTTCCTCCCAGAATAGTGTTTCCTGTTGCACTCTTCCCATTTCCTGTCTTCCCGATCAGCACAATCCTCAAACACTCCTGACCATCTGATCCACCATCAGCACCTGGAAATCATATTGGTAGTAAATAAAAAATACTTTAAAGTGTGCAAGTATAAAATGATTGGATGTTGAATGTTGGATGGTATAAGATTCTAGATTATTGACTTCGCTACTGATTTACTTTTTGGTGCTTAAAATGATTCTCACTGGGCTTTGGAACAGAGTAATTCTGTAAGACATTTACAGATCCACATAAGTTTCCACACTTTATGCAGTATAGTGGCAAAAAAAAAAATACATACAAATTCCTTAGTGTGGCGAGGGGTGCGTGGTTTGGCGAGATCTGCAGCGGGAGAGCGAGGGCGGAGCCAGGTGGTGAGTAAGCGGGTCATGTTCAAATGACGAACACCTGTCTGTGATTGCAGTAATTGGCGTGAGGAGACCGCATATAAGCAGCCCTGGCAGACAGCACTTTTGAGAGAGACTGGGAGCTCGTGCACGGACCGGCCAGACACGACGAGTGACGTCTTCATTGAGATTGAGCCTATTGCGAAGCTGTAGCCAGCGGGAAGAGTTCGTTTTGCCCATTTACTTTCTGTTGGTGATTTTGTTTATTTGAGTTACGTTATTGTGAGCGCGGAGTGCGCTGTGGAAAGAGTGAAAAATAAAAGTGCACGAGCCCCAGATATCGCCGACCCTGTGTCTCCTTCCATCACCTACACTTCACACAGAACCTGATCTGTATCACACTGGTGCCGAAACCCGGGATGGAAGGGGAAGCCGCCGCCAGACAGTCCATGCCAACCCCATTTGCGGAGGTCATCCACGCGCTCGCGGGCCTCCACCAACAACATCAGAAGGCGTTGCTCAAGCTGGAGGAGCAGCAACAGCGCCGGTTCGAGGCGCTCCTCCAGGGCCAGAAGGAGGACCGCGAGCAGTTCCGGAGCTGGTTGGACCGGGAGGTTCGAGACCTTACCGCGGCCGCAGCCATGCCTCTCCATAAGATGGGTCCCCAGGATGACCCGGAGGCGTTCCTGGACCTCTTTGAGAGGACGGCTACGGCCGGGAAATGGCCATCAGCGGACTGGCCCATGCGGTTGATCCCGCTGTTGTCAGGCGAAGCCCAGATCGCCGCTCAACAGCTGCCAGTCCAGAACCTCCTGGTCTTTGAAGACCTGAAGCGCGCCATTCTCCAGCGGGACCCTTCGCCTTCGCGCAACAGCTCCAGGACGCGTGCCGCAAATGGCTGGTGACCGAGGGCCGTGACGTCGAGGGAGTCGTGGAGCAGGTGGTGCTGGAGCAGTTCGTGACACGACTCCCGAAGAAGACCTCCCAGTGGGTCCAGTGCCATCGCCCGACGTCGCTGGACCAGGCCATCCAGTTGGCAGAGGACCAGATGGTGGCGTGCCCGGGGGTCGGCGAACCCTCATCTCTCTCTCTCTCTCTCTCTCTCCCCCCCCCTCTCTCTCTCTCTCTCGTCCTGTTCCTACTCCCAGGTCCCGAGGCGGCATCCCACCGAGACCGGCTCCCAGATGGAGAACTGGACCGGGACAGGACCAGAGCTGGAGGACCCGTACCCTACCTCGGGAAATTGCTCCCTCCTCCAGCGCCGCAGAGGGCCCCGGGCCCGCGCTCTCCTCACGCCCGTTACCTGACCCGCTTCCCGCCACCGGGGTGGCGGGGAAGCCTGGGCCGGCCTGCTGGCGGTGTGGGGACCCCGGGCATTTCATTGATCGGTGCCCCATGATGGAGATCGGGACGCTGATCAGGGTCCCCGACGAGCCGCGGGCCACCCTCGACCAAGCAGGGTTATACCAGATTCCAGTAAGTGTAAAGGGGGGTAATTATCAGGCTTTGGTGGATTCAGGTTGTAACCAGACCTCCATCCACCAAAGCCTGATCCATGCGTCGGCATTGGATAAGAGCCGCATGGTTAAGGTGCGGTGTGTGCACGGGGAAATAGTGGGTTATCCCCTGGTGCCAGTCACCATTCAATTTCGGGGCCAAAAGCATAGAGTTGAGGTGGCAGTTAACCAGCACCTCCAGCACCCGTTGATTTTGGGGACTAATTGGCCGGGGTTTAAATCCTTATTGGCGTTTCTGTGCACGGGTGCTCCGGGGGAGTATAAAAAGCAGGACGGGGGAGCGTCGGTGCGGGCTGGGGAGGCTGTCCCGGGGACCGCGGGTCCTGCTCTGGAGGAACGGAGCGCGTCTGAAGAACTAATTTTTTCAGAGCGCGATGATTTTCCTCTAGGGCAGTCCCGGGATGACACGCTACAAAACGTGCTTGAGCAGGTCCAAGTGATCGACGGGCAGGCTGTCCATCCGAACCAGCCGCTCTCCTATCCATATTTTGCTGTAATCAAGGATAGGTTGTATCGGGTGACCCAGGACCCACATTCAAAGCAAGATACAACTCAATTGTTAGTTCCAAAGAGCCGCCGGGAAATGCTTTTCCAGGCGGCTCACTCTAATCCAATGGCTGGTCATTTGGGGCAAACAGCTACACTAAATCGTATAATGACCCGATTTTTTTGGCCAGGCATTCACGAGAATGTGCGCAGGTGGTGCGCCTCTTGTCGCGAATGTCAGTTGGTAAATCCACCGGCCAACCGAAAAGCACCATTGTGCCCGCTCCCTTTAATAGAGGTCCCCTTCGAACGAATTGGCATGGACCTCATCGGGCCATTAGAACGATCTGCACGGGGGCATCGCTTTGCATTAGTCCTGGTGGATTATGCAACGCGATACCCCGAAGCAGTGCCGCTCCGCAACATTTCTGCTAAAAGCGTCGCGGGTGCACTGTTTCAATTAATCTCCCGGGTGGGGATCCCGAAAGAGATTCTCACCGATCAGGGCACGGCGTTTATGTCACGTACTATCCGCGAATTATACGAATTGTTGGGCATTAAATCGATTCGCACCAGCGTCTATCACCCACAAACAGATGGTTTGGTGGAACGGTTTAATCGCACATTGAAATCCATGATTCGTAAATTCGTGCAGGAGGACGCCAAAAATTGGGATAAGTGGCTAGAACCCCTCTTGTTCGCTGTACGGGAGGTCCCCCAAGCCTCCACGGGGTTTTCCCCCTTTGAGCTGCTCTATGGACGCCAGCCCCGCGGGGTACTGGATGTCCTTAGAGAGGCTTGGGAGGACGGACCTTCAAATAGCAAGAACGAAATTCAGTATGTCCTGGACCTGAGAACAAAACTCCACACATTGGGGCGGCTCTCTATGGAGAATTTGTTACAGGCTCAGGACAAACAAAGTCGGCTGTACAACAGGGGGGCTAAACTACGCAAATTTGCACCGGGAGATAGAGTGCTTGTATTACTTCCCACATCCAGCTCTAAATTACTCGCCAAGTGGCAAGGACCCTTTGTGGTCACACGGCGAATTGGGGATCTTAACTATGAGGTTCTTCGATCAGACAGGGACGGGACACATCAGATTTATCACCTCAACCTCCTAAAGAAGTGGAGTGAGGCGGAGTCCGCGATGCTGGCGACGGTAGTGAGTGGGGAGGAGGATCTCGGGCCAGAGGCGAATATAAAGTCTCGATCCGCTACTCTGGCCATTTGCGGAGATCACCTCTCACCGTCCCAGATCGCGGACATTCAAAATTTGCAAACAGAGTTTGCCGATGTGTTCTCGCCCCTCCCTGGTCGCACGAACCTCATACAGCACCATGTTGAGACCGACCCGGGTGTGGTAGTGCGCAGCCGGCCGTATAGATTACCTGAACATAAAAAGAAAGTGGTACAGGATGAATTGGAAGCGATGTTGGATATGGGGGTAATAGAAGAGTCCAACAGTGACTGGGCGAGCCCGATAGTTTTAGTGCCTAAAACTGACGGCTTCGTGCGGTTCTGTGTGGATTATCGCAAGGTGAATGCTGTATCGAAATTCGATGCATATCCAATGCCGCGGGTGGACGAATTGCTTGATCGGCTCGGCACTGCTCGCTTTTATTCGACACTGGATTTAACGAAGGGCTATTGGCAGATACCCTTATCTCCAATGTCTAAAGAAAAAACTGCTTTCACGACGCCGTTCGGATTACACCAATTTGTTACGCTTCCTTTCGGTTTGTTCGGCGCACCGGCTACCTTTCAGCGTCTGATGGACAGAATCCTCCGGCCGCATGCTGCATATGCCGCGGCATACCTGGATGATATTATCATCTATAGTAACGACTGGCGGCATTTGGATTTGGAAGAGTCTTTAAAGAGCAAAAGCAGGTTGGACAGCGGCATATGCAGCACCTGCGAGCTGTCCTCAGAACGCTGCGAGGGGCTGGGCTCACGGCCAACCCAAAGAAGTGTGCAATTGGGCGCGTGGAAGTTAGGTATCTGGGCTTTCACTTGGGTCATGGACAGGTGCGTCCCCAAATTGACAAGACGGCAGCGATTGCGACCTGTCCGAGACCTAAGACCAAAAAGGAGGTTAGACAGTTCCTGGGGCTAGCAGGATATTACAGAAGGTTTGTACATAATTATTCGGACCTTGCTAGCCCGCTGACTGATTTAACTAAAAAGGAGGCGCCAGATACCGTTCAGTGGACGGAGCAGTGTCAGCAGGCTTTTACCCAGATAAAGGCAGCCCTGTGTGGTGGCCCGCTGTTACAGGCTCCTAACTTTTCTCTCCCTTTTTCCCTGCAGACCGACGCATCGGACAGGGGGCTGGGCGCCGTCTTGACCCAGGAGATAGAGGGTGAGGAGCGGCCGGTGCTGTACATTAGTCGCAAGCTCTCGAAGAGGGAGACCATGTACAGCACCATTGAGAAGGAGGCTCTCGCCATTAAGTGGGCTGTTCTCACTCTCCGCTATTATCTCCTGGGCCGAGAGTTCACCCTCTGTTCGGACCACGCTCCCCTGCAATGGCTCCACCGAATGAAGGATACCAACGCGCGGATCACCCGTTGGTATCTAGCGTTACAGCCTTTCAAGTTCCAGGTGATCCACAGGCCGGGTGCACAGATGGCTGTGGTTGACTTCCTCTCCCGCAGGAGGGGGGGGGGGGGCTGCAGGCCGGACGCCTCCCCGGCCTGAGTCGGGCGGTGGGGGTATGTGGCGAGGGGTGCGTGGTTTGGCGAGATCTGCAGCGGGAGAGCGAGGGCGGAGCCAGGCGGTGAGTAAGCGGGTCAAGTTCAAATGACGAACAGCTGTCTGTGATTGCAGTAATTGGCGTGAGGAGACCGCATATAAGCAGCCCTGGCAGACAGCACTTTTGAGAGAGACTGGGAGCTCGTGCACGGACCGGCCAGACACGACGAGTGACGTCTTCATTGAGATTGAGCCTATTGCGAAGCTGTAGCCAGCGGGAAGAGTTCGTTTTGCCCATTTACTTTCTGTTGGTGATTTTGTTTATTTGAGTTACGTTATTGTGA